ATTGAAAATGGGAATAAAAACACTTAGAAATTACTTAGAAATCATGTTTTATATACCTCAGCTTGAACACTGATCACTGGCACCAAGTTAGCTCTCAGCATTTATATTAAATGAAGAATATTTATTTCAGCAATAAAAATGAATTAACTAATGAGTTTTTTATTTGGAAAAAGAGGCCTATTTTACCCTGCTACTGATATTTTGCTAAAAATATGTTCATATTTATACAGCAATTATGCAGTTATATGACAATTACGGGAAAAATGGATACATCTTTTATATGTTAATTCCTTGTTAAATGTACAAGCAAATTCTATACAGAAAATGATCTGAATTTTGTATCTTTGTGTTTATTGTCAGAGCTAAATTGACATATCATAGCATAATTATTGTTAGCATAACACTGTTAAAATGCTCTTGCTGGGAGAATAAAGCAATTCCCGAATAATTTTTAACTAAATACAAATTGAGAAAAATGTCTCTCTAAGGGAGATTACACCGCATTTATTAACTACTAATTACATAGTTGTTTATCTTTTCTTTAATAAGAAACTAAAAGGAAAAAAGCAGAGGAAAAATTCTTGTAGCTTAGTAATAATTGGCATTTAAAAATAATTATATAATAAATTTTATAAATAGGATGTGACTTGATATTGAGTGGATGTCAATGTTGGCATTTAATGAGTGTATTAAAAAAACAATTAAGGATGCATTAAAATGTGGAATAGAAATTTACATTAGTCAGTTCAGTTGTAAAAGGAATCCCAGACTTGATTAAAATATTGATGGTAAATGAAACGTCTTCATCAAGTCTGAGTTAAAAGGAGGACTGCTCGGCAAGCATAACTAGCAACAATTTTGAATGCAAACTTTTGAAAATGAATAAGCAGCCCCTGTATATTCGTTTTTGATATTGTACATAAAATCTCTTAGTTCTCTTTATGTCGGATATGTAAATGGCTTACCAAATGGTTAGATTGTTACTCACCAGCCACAGAAGTCACACACAGATTTGGAGAAATTAATATTTTGCGTATATACAGAAATGGATTCGACTAAGTTTTTTTTTTTATTAGTTTCACCTCACGCAAGGCAGTAAAGCCACTAAGGCACAAGGGGTTACAGGGTGTGGAAGAATTAGGAACAAAAACATTAATAATGAGCAGGAAGAGAAAATAGTAATCAGGAAGACAGTAGATAGCGATTGACATTGCATTTAAATGTGTGCAGATTAAAGTTGGCTGGAAAACATGGAACCGGAAGGAAGTTCAACAAGCGAAAAGTGCGAGGAAAGCATAAAATTTACGGCTACATCTAGCCAGCTCAACTGGAAATTAATGAGATATTGACGCCAGTCTAGTACAGCGCTTAAATTAAAAAAGTCTAGGTACCGTAGGGAAGAGTTCATCCGAGTAATTACCATAAAAGTATTTAAAGAAAAGGTACAGGGAGGCAACCTTATGGTGGTGAGAAAGTGACTGAAGCCGAGACGCCAGATCAGGACCGATAATATTGCTGATTCTTTGGATCTTATCAAGGAGTTCAAGATAAATAGCAGAGGCACCAGACCATATGTGGAAGCAATATTCTAAGCATGGACGAGTGGTAGACATAGATATGTATGATAGATTCTGGAGAGAAAAAATTTTCTGGTATGACACAGTGAAGCAACTTTCTTAGCAGCTGACCCAGCAATGGATTTTATGCATTGTGTAGTGTCTGTCAGTCTTAGTAGAATCGTTTGTTGACAAAACTTTTGGAAGGTCAACTGTGTCATTCTTCCGATGAAGTTGGTAAGACAAGCTTGTAATGAATTTTAGAAGTGGAAATGTTTTTTTTTTTTAATTTATTTGAACTGAAGATTTGGAAAGGACAGCAGCAGGAATTCGTCTGTTGTTTTTTCTTCTTCCGATATGTTTGGCACAACACGAGTCTTTGATTATATTAACGTTTAATTAAGAAGATATCTTTTCGTTCTATCAGGAATTAAATTGTGATGAGGTTATCTATTTGTATTTTTTTTACTATTTTTTTTGTTAACTTTTCGGGTACGAAAAAAAAGCTCACATGGGCATCAAGTGACCCCCCCCCATCAAAGAAGAGATGTGCGTTTTTTAGATAAGGTAACTGAATCTTGTTTGGTTGTGAAAGCTTTCCGTAGCTGTGCGATCCAAAGCACACTGGGATGGCGGCAGTTTCCTCTATAAGGGGACGTAGGATCCAACCCTTTATTAAGACTCTCAAATGCTCATGCCGGTAGTCGTAAATTTAAATTGTCAAAAAAAAATGACATGCCTACTTAAGCACGCGTATCCACTAAATATAACGTTTGAAGTAATAAGAAACTTTGTAGAATGTAATAATTTGTAAACGATACGTAGCTTCTTGGTAATATTACTAATAAAATAAGAACCATCTCCCGTTTTAATATATAAATAGATTCTTATTTTTGTTTATCCATAGACAAATAAATAAAGTCTTACATAAAGGCTTCATTAAAGATAACTCATAGTTGATTTGATAACAGCATTGCTTTTTACTTTTCTAGCTGGTAGCTTCAGCTTGAGTCTTGACAGCTAGCATTTTACAACTGGTAACGTTTAATATTAATTAGTATATCATGGTTGTTTTATTTTCATTTTTATCTGTTTAATTTTTTAAAGCTATGCGGTGTGCATAATTTATAAGGCTAACATTATTGTGTTTGCTCCGCAATTTGGAATCTGCGACACTTCAAGGGAATAAATATCAGAAAGTAATTTGACATTTTGTTTAATTCGTTGGAGTTCACTTACTACTAAAAACGATAGTTGATAAAATCTATTGACAACAAATGTTTTCTGTCCTTGACAAGAGAGTCTCAAGAAACAAAATATATGAAGTTCTTTGCCTTAGGATTTCGATTAACTTAACAAAGCAGTGTAGACACAAAGCAAAATGGCCGCTTTAACAATGCTGTATGAGTCTAATATAGTTTCTAAAGATCAATTTAGATGCTTTGCATATATGTTTTTCATTTATATAATATTTTTTTTTTTTGCTGTTGGAATAATGACAGCGTGATATTTATCGATCGATCTAAATGTCGAGCATTTAACACATCCTTCTTGCATTGTAGGCAGCAAAGAAAAATGGCCATGCTTTGTTGGCGGGAAGGACATTTAGCAGGAAGCAAGTCTTAATGTTATAACCTTTTTGGCACGACAGTCTCCTGGGAACTCTGTCGATTAGTTGGTTCGTTCAATGGTTGCTTACACGGTCGGATGCTGATCTGGTTTTCATTTATAGAATTCCACGAAATATTCCGCTTGCACAATGATAGAATACAAGACAGGCGATAAAGAGGTCCGATATTGGCAAAGCAAGTTAAACAACAAATAGTATAGAAAAATATCCTGTTTCTTCATTTTATCACTGGCAAGCGACTGTTAATAATTTTGATGCGCGAATTTGTCTTCGAAATCAATTTGTTTTTATTCAATTGTCTTTCATTGCTTCAATTTCACTGATTCGTTTTTGAAAAATTATAGCTTGTACATGCTTTTAAAGGAAACTTGCACAACAGCAACCTTCTGACGGGTGCCATCATATTTTGACGTAATGGAAATCTTTTAACGAAGCACTCCGATATTTCAAGTATATATCCGGCCATGTTCATATTTCTTTTTGCAATAGAATTTTGTTCTGGAAAACAGAATCCCTGTGCTAGAGTGTAGTTTTGAGAATTTTTGATTCTCCTTATTCCAAGTTTGAGATATTCTCGGGATATATATATGGCCCCCAAAATTTGGTGGAAAATATGGAACCCGGAAGTTCAAATCCGAGTTGCTAAAAAAAAAAGTAGCGTGGGTTTCATCATATTTAAACATGGGCGGTGATCGATTTTTTTTCATAATTGTAAAATTATAATCTGGCCTGAAGAGCGCTGACCAACAGAGTGAAACGTAAGTAGTCTAGGTATTGTACATTTTATATCTGACGTGTGGACTGAACGATTACAAAAAGATTCGTTTACGAAAGTCTCGAGTCGGGGCGCTAAATATAACATCAATCAGATAAGTGACAAATTTTATATTTGTATTAATCATATAATATATATATATATATATATATATATATATATATATATATATATATATATATATATATATATGTGTGTGTGTGTGTGTATGAATAAAAAAGTAAGAGGAAAAAAAACTATTTATTGCCTTGATAAGTCCCTCAGAGGACGAAACGCGTCGGCTAAGAATAGCTTTTTCCTCTTGTCTCTTATTCATTTTTGTTTCTACTGGGGATATTTGCACACACACACACATATATATATAGCAGATGTCACGATACCGGCAATGTCTTACCATCAGACTACTCGAATTGTATGTTGCAAAGGCAATCACCAATTATCTTGATTGGTTCTTATTATATCAAGGCTGTCTGATGCTGAGAGTCCACATAGTGTTACGCAATCATCGGGTTTCTGGAGTCTGGTGTGGAACCACTCCATGCGCTACGGCTTGTTTTGTTTGGAGGTCGTTCACGTTCAGCGAGTGGGCAGTCATATCACACGCACACACTCTATATATATATATATATATATATATATATATATATATATATATATATATATATTAAAAAGAAGATAAACCGCAAACGTTTAGAGTTGAAATGTGGATTTTTTATTTTAAAATATATATTATACTCTACTGTCCATAATTCTGCTACACGTGTTTCTGGTTTCGCGACCTTCTTCAAGCAAAGAGTAGATATTTCCACATATAAAAATGACATCCACGCAAGAAATTCATTTTTATAATATGTGGAAATATACACTTTTTTCTCGTTGGAACAACTATAACCTCTTCCCTATATATATATATATATATATATATATATATATATATATAGTGTGTGTGTGTGTGTATGTATGTATATGTATATACTAAGGGCTTCATCTCATCATAAAATCAGTCTCATGTGGCCCAAATTTATCTTTACCCTAATAGGAGCGAAAATACCTTTATTTATCCCTTCCCTTCCCCGGCACACTGCTAATACGGGTACTGAACAGACTGATGGTATCACTGCACCCAGCCTCTTTCTTTTTTTCCTCTGTCTCTTTTATCAGTTCAGTCATTAATCTTCTTCACACGTTTTCTTTTCTTGTTGAAATCGATAAGATCTTTTGTGCACTTTTCCATTCTGTGTTTGACTTGAGAAAGATGAACATTTTACTTACAATGAGTAAAATGGCTGTGAAGTAGGGTTCAATAGCTGACAGACAAAAGAAGAATAAACGGGGGTCGGTAAGAGGGTGTGGCTGACGATAGTCTGCTGCATTTTCTCAGCGATACGCTGATTACTTCCGGTAATCGTCGGCAACCAGTAGTTGCTTCCTAATCGAACCCAAATCATTGTAAGAAATCGATAACCGATACTCGTGTAAGAGGAAAGCTAAGAACTTAGTAAGAGCATATTATTATTATGATGATGATAATGATGATAGTCATAGTATAGAAGTGAGGTTTATTCGATTGGATGACAATTGGTGAGCCTGAAGTAGAAAAATTCAGCAAACGAAACAATTGCAATTATCGGCCTGCCACGTGTATGATGTGAAATAACTCACTCGAAAACTTAGAGAGGAAATTTAGAATTTATTAGAAAGTCGAAGATATCTAACCAAAAATCAGAAACGATGTACAAAAAAGAAGAAATGTCTTATTTATTGATAAAAAAAAAACAAAAAAAATTGAGAATGGTTAAAATTTAAAAACAAACCAAAACAAAGGAAGAACAATAAACAAATGGGAAAATAATATTAAAACAACAACAATAGCAACAACAAAAACAAGCCACAATATGATTCTTACGTTATACATATTGGAATTTCTAAATTATACTAAAGATGTAAGATCGTGATAAATTAATCACACACTCTTGTAATCAAGAAATGAAAGATAATAACTACAACAGAACAGTCCCAGGACTAGATTGGCAGCTTCATCTAATCATTTTAGTGTTGAGATTGTTGAATGTAACTATAAGTACTAAGCTAACAGTTCTCTCGCACTTCTCGTCAGTAGAATTCATTTCTGACCTTGCTTTCCTGTCAACTACGATCTTCAAAAGTTTAAATGTAATGTCAACCGTCCTCTGTCTTAATAAGAATTTGAAAAAAACGTTATTGAGGAGAAACGACAATAAAAGAACTTTTATTGTCGTTTCTCCTCAATAACGTTTTTTTCAAATTCTTTCACTCTCAGAACCCCCTTGCATCTTAGTGGTTTTATCACCTTTCTTGTGATGAAATCATTAAAAAAACCCCCAAAAAACCCCCCAAAAAACAAAACAAGACATAGCAAAACAGAAAAAAGTCTCTTTGAGGCTGTTAAGCATATAGTAATCATATGCAGAGCATTATTCCAGATGGAATAGAAAAGTAGGCATGACTGGATCGGAAAGTTGGTCCGCTGAGAACTGTGCAAACGTTTAATACTGGGACATCCCCAAAAAAGTAGTTTACGCACAAATCAAAATATGTTTAGGAGAATAAAAAATAAATTCTTTGAGACATTGAAATTTAAAGCATTAACCAAATCATGTCAGAAGGTCAGATGTTGTCATTGTGGGGGGAAAAAGGAGAAGAAAAAGGTATATAAAAAAGACTATTTAAAAAGCAGATGTTTTTACAGAAGGGCAAAGGGCAAAATAATATTTAAAAAAAAGTTTGGACCATATTAGAAAATCCTCCCAAAATGTTGAGGGGCATGATGAAAGTGCCAGTTTTACTCATCATCACTAACGAGGTTGGAACAGTACCGGAGAGTCTGATGAAAAAATTTGAAGAATTTGAAAAGTAATGAAGAATCAAAACTATCCAGATAACAACATTACTAAAATAACTCGGGTACCTCGAATACCTCGGATAAAAGGCTGTCGTATTTAGGAGTCTTGCTGTTGTTTAATCCCCACTGAAATCCACTGACTAATTTTCGTATGAAAACAGTGAGAACAAATAATAATAATAATAATAATAATAATAATCCTATTATAACTGTGCTTGTCCTTCCCTTCGACAGTTCACACGATCGTTACGTCCTGCCAATAACTCACAAACAATGGACTGTTCCGTCTTGATCGCGTGGAAAAGATACTCATTGGTTTCAGTGGAAAAGGAATGAAAGAAAGAAGGGACGATAGAAGTATTTAACGGCTGTTTCAGTGAAATAAAGAAATTTGTCAATTTCAAATCTTTTCATTTGTACCCACTTCTTAAAATAAACGCCAGCATTCACATTTATGGTGATTTTCTAAGCGTAGCTTAGATGTGGCACAAGGCCGAAAGTATGGGGCACCCAGTGAGGATCGAACTCATTATTTAGTCGTAATTGATCAAGCATGACAAGCTTGCTAACCATTACATCACGTAGAAGTGCTCAAGGATTTTCTGAACGTGGTTTAGATGTGGCACAAGGCCGAAAGTGTGGAGCACCTAGTGAGGACAGAAGTCACTTGATCACGAATCAGGGGCACCACATGCACTGCATCCGCAGTAGAAGTGGTGTTTCTTGGGCAAGATAGCCTGACGGAGCCCAACCCTCTCCAGGCCGGTTTTGAATTCAGAGTTACCTTCTCCTAGAGCGGTTGCTACCATAGCCATTTAGCACGCAAGTGAATGTAATGGATCCGATTCCTTAATCCGAGTCGCTATCCATTACTCCATCGTATCTCAACTCGATCGTATTTGATCCAGCAAGACATCTTCCTATTCGAATCTTTTAAAAAGCACAGCGTATATCATATCCGGTTTAATGGTGTATTTTTTTTTTTGCTATTTCTTTAACAGAAAGCATCTTATTTTCCGTAAGTTGTTTAGTTTTTATAGCCTGTCTTTTCGATAACAATCGGTGAGACTACCTTGGAACTCCACACACAAAGAGCGACCACTCGACGTCTGCAGGTCTTCTGATATTCTCTCGCTCATGCTTATTTTATTGAGTGCTTCAGGCTCGGAAATTTGCACAGGCCACATATTCGTCTCGCAAAATCTCCGAGCTCCTAGACTGAGTTATTCTTAAATGGCAGTTTTTGGACCGGTTATATTTTCTATGTATTTTGCACGCGAGGCACGTACGAGCGCATTTTGTCCCCGGAAGTAAGTCGTTTTCCCTTCTACATTTTTCCTTTATAAAAGTATTTTTCAGAGTGTAATGGAATCTAAAGGCTGTGTGTTGTGTGTATATTGTAAGTCGGGTGCGTGTTCACATGTAAACAAAGAAGAAGCATACTAAACTTGAGTTTCTACTACGGACCGTATACTCTTTTTATATATAAACTGTAAATAAAGTTCTCAATGGCTCTCGAATATGTCCGTTTTCTTTTTGGTCTAGAAGTTAGAGTAAGTAAGTATAAGTATCGTATTATTGGTCGAGCTCAAGTCAGCCTTGAGCAGAGTTGGAACAGCCAAAGAAACTTATTTTACCGTTGGATGGTTTAAACATTGTTATGATATGTCTGTTTTTTTTTTCTTGAGCTGAGCTAAAACGGCCAAAGAAAATGTTTATTTACGTTCTAAGTGGAGCTTTGGAAGACACGGGCGAACGCCATGCATTGTAAAGTAAAAAGAGAGTTCAGTCGTCAGAGAACCGGGAAACGACACATTCTGCAGAGAGGGGAGAGGAGAGTGAGACAGGAAAATGTTTGTTTTTTATAGAGTTAACCAGCGCCGCCTAATACGTTTGATGAAGTAGAGTGGAGTGGAGTAGTCCCATTTGTGGTTCCTCTACTACTAGCATCATAGGAAAATATATTTCTTTCTCTCTTGTTTTATTCATTATTATTATTATTAAATTCATTGATTTTATTTCATTATTTCATTTCCCATAGTGCCATCCATTACGGGGTATGAGAATAAGAAAAAAGAAGTATTTAGAATTTCATAAAATCGATGTTGTCTTTTTTAGCGAAATGTATCTTATGAATAATTTTCTAGAACTGGTTTGCTAAAGATTATTATCGTCATTATAATTTGCTTGTCTTCCTGAGTTGATCCAAAAAAGTAGGTTTAAGTGCAGTTAGATGTTTTACGAGTTTAGCTTTTTGCTTTGACCTCTTTTGTGAGAGATGTAGATAATTTTTTTGACAACTCTGACTTCGGTTTGAAAAAAAGTTTTCCATTCATGGTAGCTGTTTATTTTCAGATGGCTTTCTTCATGGAAACGCTAATTTCACCACTGAAAACATAATTGGATGACACTAACTAGACGTTTTATTTCTCAACTACTGTGCTGTAAAAATATCGGGTTCAGGAAAAACACCTCATAAACACGCGATGGTAAGGACGGGTTAAGTGAATGTTTTCACATCTTTGTCGTTAAAGATTTTACAAATATCAACAGAGTACATTTTGATTTTGGTGTGCAAATTTGTTTGTATAATGGCCGGCTAAAATTTGTTTCCGGTTAGCCAAACTCTATTAGAGACGTCTACTCAATCTACAGGGCATAGGCGTGGTTCATACTGCAACTCTGCTGAGCAGACCATAGTTACATAATCTGGGATCAGTAGTAGGCTCAATACCCTCGGCAATGATGACTTGTGACTTCATGCTCGCACAACCATCGATAGATTCAGAACGGATCAGTTTAACAAATTTAATTTACAAGCCTTGGATCAACACGTGGTATGGTTTTCAGGCAATTTCCAAAGGGTGTCGCGTGCTGGGATCACCTCCTCAAGTCGATAACATCAAGGTCACCTCAATGAACATACTTACCATGGTGGGATTCGAACCCGGGTTTCATACTCAGAAAGCGAACATTCTAACCAGTCGACTTCGCGTTTGCATAAGAATTTAAAAATTCATTTTATTTCCTGAAGACAGCTTGTATAAAATAACCCGGATGTTTGATCTTTAATCGGACATCCGGGTTTTGATATATTACCACTCTCCAGAGTCCTAACCACTAGGCCAACGTATCGCCTGGTTATGTGAACGGGACAGATATGAGATTGCTCACAGGAATAATGTTAACAATACAAAAGAGGTGGAAGTGTGAGGCTGAGGTGGATAGGAGAGAGAAAGACTGCTCTGAATACGGGTCGTTTTCGTCGCTGTCGTCATCACGAATAGGTGAG